TGTATCCTTGCTGGCAACCAAGGCATTAAGATTTCTAGAAAGATTACATCACAAACATGCCGGAGATAGAATGCACTCGAATCCACTTGGGCCATACCTAGAAAATAAGATGGAAGAAAAACCTTGCAGGTCAAAGGGGAAGGCTGTGTAAGAACCTACCCACAGGAATGTAGAAGAGATTTGTAACATGTAAGAACCTATCCTGGGGAAGAGAATAACATCTGGAATGGAAGCTATTACTCAAAACTGTGTGACAAAATTCAGGACAAAATTGTCCAATTAAATAGTTTGTTGGTGAGTTGATCACAGCATTGCCGTAATAGCTAATTTTCCGGGTTTGTTTGCCTTTTCTGGATGGTCTAGTAGACTTCTTCCAAGGAAGCAAAAGTAAACTACTCATCTATTCTTCTGAGCGAACAGGGTCCGTCAGCAAAAAAAATTGGAATTGCAGCAGATAGTAGCAAAAATCATTCACATTATGAAGTTTTTCCATTTCCATGGACCAATTTTGAAGCCATTCTACTATTTAAAATAAAAAATCACATCTCCAATCTGCAGTCATATCAATGACCCATAGGCATTAGTAACAAAAAATTTCACTCATTCTCTGGACTTCAGCACAATTCATATTTCAACTTAACTGCATGACATATTTCAGGGGAATAAACCCAAGCAATAGCATGTTTATAAAACCAGAGATCTTTCCCCAAAAATCCGTTGTTTCAAAATGACGGTCAACTAGGACCAAGGAAATGTAAAAATCCCAAATGCAAATCACTTAATTCCTTTTGGACAGTCAATGTTCAAGTGTAATGGTCTAAATGTAAAGATAGCCAACCAGGCACACATATTGCAAGTAAGGAAAAGTTTGCAATTTTCATAATTGGTTTCTAAACTATTAAAAGCAGACTTATACTACTACTACAAAAGTATGGACCTTAATACCTTATTCTTCACCTACAAACACACCTTATGCACTTCCTTAATCACTATTAAAACTATTTTTTGAAACTGTTTGATTTTTCCCACTTAGATGCAGCATCCAAAGTCCAAAAGATATAAAGGAGATCACAGGAGCAAAAATTGTCATTACAGCCTTCCATAGAAAAGATAAGCCACCATCTTTGTTTTCATGTCTTACAAAAGCATATTAAAATCTTGGCATACTAAACTACTTAATCAATCTTAAACTACAGGTGCATGAGCCTAGATATCTTCTAATCATCAAGAGAACTACAAAGGTACTTTGCTTTGGGCTATGTGACATATTACCTATATCAGAGGGAAATGCTAACCATGACAAGCCCACTTTAGCTCACAAGTCACAAGTAAAGAAAATCACTCAAGGATGACATAAAATCATGCTTAATGCATGATGGCCGGGATAGCTTAACCGGTCATTAACAATACTGGTTAGTTAACATTCTCACGTCCAATTTTAGCCATTTGCTCAACAAAATATCCCTCTAAAGCATTGAACGCTTTTATTCAACAAAAATCAATTACCGGACCAAAAAGATGGTAGTCGCATTTTACAAAGCTGAATTTTGGTGGAGAGTGCATAAGCAGCACCAATGACCAAGCAGATTCCAAATTTGATTAAAGCAACAAAGTAACTCGAAAATTTCAGACTTTGTTGTCAAATTCATCAAATGTTGTAATAGCTCTATAAGTTAAGACTTCATGGTCAAATCATCAAACAAAGTAGCATTTGACATGGTTGGTCCAAACACTAGAATTTATAATTCACTAAATTCAACCACCTCATTCCAGCTGTAGTAATCATTGAATTTGCAGACAATCAAGTATTCAAGTGAATCAACTAAACAAGGACCACTATCCTAGGTCTCTCTATAGTTTGACCTTATAACACCAGTCAATTTGCAATCACTGTATACAAAGCCCATACAAAAATCTTATTTCAGGGGTTGCAGTGCATTTTCTATAAACTATGTTACTCGGACTCTTTAATACACCTCAACAACCTATGTCCAATCCTCGACACGACTTGTGAGCCAAAATTATGCAAATTATTTCACAAAATAGCCAAGTGAGACAATTGGACATACACCCGTGACCGACACGAGTACCCGTGTAACACACCCTAGATATACAAAACATTCCAAGATCACAAATATGCAAGTCAACAATAAAATTCAACAAAAACCCACTTCAAATCACCAAAAACCCAGTAAAAATAACAATTAAACATAACTAAACATTGAATAAATTACAAAAGGAATAAGAAGATTACCACAAATCTTAACAGAAGCTTCAATTTCCAAAAGATTAGGCTGTTTCAAAAAGATTTCCCTAGAAAATAAGCAAAGTTGACGGATCTCAGACTCAGAAATCTGAACTTGTTTACCAGGTTTGCCCTTAACATCAAGCAATCTGGTAATAATGCTATCAAGAACAGCAGAGTCCATAAAATCAAATTGGTGGGAAAACAGAAAGAGAGAGAAAATAAATTAGAGATGGAGAATGAATTGAAAGAAGGGTAGCTAAGAACATCACTTTACTAACAAAAAAGAATGGTGGGAAAAAGCAAAAAAGATGAAAGGGAATTTTAATTTAGCTTTAGAAGAAACAGAGTTTGGGAAATACAGGTAAAGTTGAGATTCTGGGGATTTTGATTTTTAGATAGGAAATTGTGAGTGGGAAGAAATGTGGAAGAGAGAGAAAGAGTGGAAGAAAGGGTGGAAAAAAGAAGAAGGGAAAGAGTGAATTGGGGGAGGCTTCAGCTACCAGCAAAGTGGCAAGTGGGAATGAAGAATGGATGAATGAGTTGACTTAGTTTACTTTTTCTAGTTTTGTTCTCTCTATTTGGTAAGTTGATGGCGGCAAGACTACCCATGTCCTTGTGATGGTTACCCTAGTTATGGCCTCCCCTCCCTCCCTTTGTGTCGATTGATACACCGCGTCGTTATGTCTTACTCAAAACGGAATATTATAATGGTTTTTTATAATAAATACACGTTACTCGACTACTCGTAACTTGTAAGCATTATTCAATTATGGTCTTTTGGGAGTTAAGAAAATGAATCAAACAATTTTTTAAACAAGTTATGTGGGTTTTATTAAACTTTGAAAACATTTTGTTTATTAAATGAAACAATTTTTTAAATGGGTGTCGTTAAATTAAAGAAAAACTTGGTTAAAAACATAAAACAAAAAAGTAAGAGTTTGTTTGGTATCATATTTACTGTGGTTTTCTGTTTTTTGGTTTTTTGTTTTTCAAAATCATATGATATGTGTCATATAATGAATAAAAATTAGTCAAACTTATTAAAACCATGATCATTTTGAAAACTGACTACAGAAAAGTGGAAACACCTTTTCCGTATTTCCTTTTTTGATTTTTTGTTTTGAAAAATAGAAAACTGAAAACAAAAAATGATGTCAAACAAGCCCTAAACTTAGAGAATGGTGAACTCAACGGGCAAGATATTAATTTCTTTGCTATTGAAATGTTCTAAAGTGGAAAAAATAGAATTTACTTTACTTTTTACATTAATTCTTTAAAATAGAATATAAGTTAGTTAAAAAAAAAAAGGTGTTCACATAGTAAAACAGTTGAAAAAGCTTAAAAGGAAGTGTTTCAAAATATGACATATTTTTTATTATTATGTTAATTCTTTAATTAAAGAAAATCACTTAATTCAACAATTGTCCATGGAAACTTATTAGAAAAAGTTGCTCCAATTATTCATCGTGAATTCTTTTTTATGTAAAATCTATAGTATGAAGCAATTTGTATGATCGAATTTGGGTTTTGTTTAATCATTCTCGAGTTGAATTACTTTTTGACAATCTGCTTAGTTATCCATGCCAAAATCATTCCACAATCTTGACATTTCTTCATATTACATATTTACATGCATGTAAAAAATCTTGAACAAGCCAAGGTCTAGGAAGGACAATATATTTCTTTATGTATAATAAGAAATATCCACTTAATTTATTTACAAAAAACAACTAAAAGTGATAATTGACGGTACATTCAATTATTTCAATTCCTTATGAATTTTACACTTTATTTGCCTAAAATGCATCTATTGTACAATTGCAACTCGTCATAATTTAGGCATTGTCACTTAATCTGATTTAATAAATAATTTTATACACTTTGACCTAATTTGTTTGTTAATGTTTAAGAAAAACAATCAAATAAAGGTATAGTTAGATTCTAATCACCAAACATGAAAAATTCATAGTTTTTTTTATTTATGAAATCAAAGATAGTTAGGGGAAGCAGTCCACTTTGTCTTTAAATTACCAATTTAGTCGTTTACGACTTACATTTTCCTTCATTAACTCAAGGTTACCATGGACTTTATATGGCAGACTAGTGGTCATATATGATTCTAAACAAGATTATATGACCATGAGATGCATCCTCAACAATTCTAAGTTTTCAACATCGTATCCCAAAACCTCCAAAATCCCAAAATTAGTCAGAATATGTGTATTATAAGTTTAATAACCTTTAATTTTGGACAATTTTTTACTTTTTCGGACCTGAGGAAAAGAGAAGTTAGGGCTCTTTCCATGAACCCCATGACAGAGCTCATTTGGGTGGTTAGAACCATCCACTTTGACTTTAAACTATCAATTAGCCATATATGTGCATGTCTCTCTTAAATAACTTTAAGCCACCAGTCACCACAGACATTTATGTGATTGGCTGCTGGTTATACATGGTAACTGCTGGTTATACGTGGTAAAATTATATGACCTTAGGTTGAATCACCTACCATCATGAGAGTTTTCGACACCAAGTCCTAAAATCTCTTAAATTGATCTAAAAGCGTGGATATTCAAGTTTAAGTCAAATGTTGACTTTTTTGAACGCGGAGAATAAACAAGTCATACACCCTACAACACTTCTAGAGGCCAGATGAGTGGTAGGAATTGTCCACTATGTGACCCATTACTGGCTGTATGGTTACAAACCACATCTATTTTTGCACGGGTTCCGAAAATCTCTAAAATTGATCCGGTTCATTTCTAAAATCACTGAACCGAACTTAAAGTTTAATGTACTTAATGTTCCCAAAACCAATTCCTTGAACAAACCCAGAAAGCTCATCAATTGTTGGTCAGGCAAATCACTAGAGAACAGATTCTGTTCCATTTACAAGTCTAAAAGTGTTGAATTTTTGAAGATTAGAGAAATTGACTTCAAAAAATAAACTTTTTGGAAAGATGAGAAGAAACAATGGAGGAAATTACACAAACCCATGTCTAACAATGCACCAACCTTGGGCTTCTCTCCTCGTTTTTGGCATTAAACGAGTTGAGGGTCGATCCTGGCCTTCCCCTATAAGAGGTAATCCTTTTTCTCTCTCTTTGTTTTCATTCAGTTATAATTTTTCTAGCAAGGGTACAAATTCTTGATTAATGTTTACTTGTATTTCTGGCATTTTGAGTAAGCAAGAGAATAATAATGTGAATTACACCGAATTGGGTATTTTCTGGATGTGGAAATCGTATATGTTTGAATTTGAATAATTTTAGCTTGTAGAAGCTCTAATTGGGGATCCACTCTGAGTAAAAATTGGAACTTTGAGAATTGAGTTAACTAAATTTTTAATTTTGTAGAATTTAAAAATGTGTGTCAGAAAAAGTTGGAACTTTGAGTTTGTGGTGGTGGTGCCTGAAAATTAGAACTTTGAGTTTGTGGTGGTGGTGCCTGAAAATTAGAACTTTGAGTTTGTGGTGGTGGTGCCTGAAAATTAGAACTTTGAGTTTCAAGGTTGTTGATTTATTGAAGGACTCTAACTGAATGTGCATGTGTGCGCGCGCGCGCGCGTGTGTGTGGAGGGTGGGGGGAGGAAGGAGGTGATTTTGCTCATATTGGCCAACCCCAAGTAGTTAGGGTGGTTGTCACGGTACCTTATACTAGTATATGTGTAGTGGTGGCGGAGATGGTTGTTAATTTTTTATGTTATATATGCTATGCTTTGTGGTAGACTGGTAGTACCGTACAACAATAGCTAACATATTTTTTTGTTCTTTTCGCGTATATTGGAGGGTCTAAACCTTGCAAACTGCTTGTTTATCCATGAACCTATTTATTTCTTACGGTCCTGCTAACTAGCTTGATTATGTGCATTTACATGTGAAAACATAATTCATTAATTAATCTTTTGTGGAATCTGTTTGGTTGGAAATGAAAACATAAATACTCTGTACATTATTGAAGGTATTTCAGTTGTTTGGTATCTGTCTACTTCAACCGTCTAAAATGGAGATTACGGAATGTATCACCTATGAAGTAGTTTCTTGTGATGGATGTTTCTTTATGTTAATTGATCTGGTCTGTGAAGGTCGACTTTGGATACATGCTGCTAGTAAGGTCCCTGAACCTGAAACTATCAAAGCAATGGAGGACTTCTACAAAGAAATCTATGCAGTGAATGGAATAAAGGACCTCAAGTTTCCAGATAATTATCCAACTTCACGGCTGATAGGTTGTCACTCTTGATCAACATTTTCTCTTACAGAATTGTTCTGCATATTCAGTCTGTGAGTATTTGTATGAATTTATAGACAATTTTTTCTCGTGGCCCAAAATCTGATTTTAATTATGATTATTTGGTCTGGAAACAACTTAAGCACACGTGAAATCTAGTCCATCTTATTAAATGGCAGGAAAATATGCTTCATGTAAAATTTAAGGTAAAGAGTTGAGAACGGTAAGTTGCCTCCATTGGGGACAACCCTTTTTCACCAAATTATGACAACCTGCCGACAAAAATGTCTGCACTGCAATTGCTAAGAGGCCATTTATTTCTGTTAATTTAGAACAGGACGGTCTGCTACATCACTTGTATATAATATAGGACATTTTTACTTAAAAAAGGCTTTGTAGTAGAGCATTCCTTTCCACCCAGTATTGCGTTGCTTATTTTCAAATTTTCTATAGACAATACTGCAGTTAAGTTATTCCTTTGCTATTTCTTAATTGAGATGAGAATAAGCATCAGGCTTTATTGTGTCTTCTGAAGCGAATCCCATGCAATTGGATAGTATGATCTCTTGAGGAGTGGCTGCATAGAGTTGATACATCTCTAACTTTTGTCCTTAGGATCTAGATAATCTTTCTGGAACACGTGCACCCTCTCTTTTGTGCCAGCTATTCAGTATATGCCAAGGTCAACTGCACATGAACATTATTTCGCTTTTCTCTAAGGTTTCTTACTGAACTTCCTTTTGAAAGCAGGTTGTGTGGAGGTGGTTGGATGTATTACATGTGAAGAGCTGCAAAGCTGGGAGGAATTGCCAGAAGGGGTAGAGCATATATGTTTTCTTTTATTTCCCTTATTGATTTCCCATTCCTTTGACTCCAAATGAAGTATTGTGATTGTGCCTCATACCAATCTTTGAAGTTATTCTTGTAATAACAAAGGAATATTATGGAATGTTCCTTGGTTGACAGGTCAGATTGGAGGGACAAACAGATTACTGCTGGTTATGCGAGCAGCCGCAAGTATGCGTCCATTCTTTCTTCTTTGTATCCAGATACGGAATGCTATTTGTGTGATTAGTAGCTAACACATGTACTTGAACTAATACAGAAACTGATAATCCCATTCGAAATGCGAGGGCAACATGGTGTTTACAATTTGGAGAGGAAGGTATGCCTGAACTGTAAGACCTTGGCACTTTTTCTCTCTTTGCAGGACTACAATGTCGCTTTTATGCTCATTACTTAGTTGCGTTTGTTGCTGAGAAAGCTGTAAAATTCTCGGTTTTGGCTATAGATATACGAGGCAGCAGTAAGAGGTTTGCGTCCAGTTGAAGCTCCATACCCTGTCAAGTTTCCGCTTATAGATCCTCAAGATCCTTTTTCACTGAAACCTGGATCACTCACATGTCTCTCTGGAACCTCCAAGACTTCTAAACTGGAAATTTCATCTGGTCTTAGCAACGTTATAGCTGGTGCACGAGTGGCTGCAACACAGTTTTCGAGAGAAAGTAAGGGTGATTCTAGTATAGACTCTGAAGTAGGAATTCCTGTTTCTTCAAGGACAAGGAATAAATTGAAGGGTATAACACAGAATGAAGAAGACGTGTGTCATGATGCAGAGCCTAACTCAGTAACCAAGGACTTGAAATAGCAGTAGCTGTTAGTGACAGAGAAGTCAGTCTGACTGATAAGGTTTGCATTTTCTTTTATGTGCTCATTAATTCCAAGAAGAATTTTTCACCATGATGATATGATCAATAGATTTGTTGTGCTTCATGATTTTTTTGTAGCATGGTGATAAAATTGATGTTTGGGTGGTTTGTTATGTCAATGTTGTTGGTACAGTTGATGTAATAGCTACCTTACTTTTCCTTTAAAGATTGGTATGATTTTTTCACTTCAAAGGTTATGTGTTTTCTTTTATTTTATGTTGGGGGAAGAAGGGGGGGGGGGGGGTATTATGGGGGTGTTGCAGAAGGGTTGTTTAGTTGCAAGTTGTGAAGGGGAGTAGCTTGTTGGTATTTTCTTTATTTTGATGCACCAAACTTCCTGTATCATGAGTTTCACCTAGGACATGAATACTGTTGAGAAAATACTTTTTGAAATTATTTCACATTTCCATGTTAGTGACATTGTTAAAGAACTACATTTGATGATTGTGCTTGACATTGTTAGAGTACATTGTTAGTGACATTGTTACATTACTACATTGTAAATGAAGTCACTAACTACAAATGTCGCTCACTTACTCATTGTTAAAAAAGTAACTACAAATGCTCAAACCCACTCATTTCTTCATATTTTTTAACACTTCATTTTTTAACACCGCTGCAACACGGATACGATCTTCACACCACCGTGTTCCCAAACACCAAGCGTCTCGGTGTACAGTGCAGCCCTGTCCACCGCCAACAACTCCGCCAGCAAATCTGCCTGATCCGCATCAGCCACAGCACAAAGTCGTTTACCCTCAACACGAATCCCCAGAATGGCCTCGACGTCATGTAACATGATCGTCATTTCACCGAACGGAAGGTGGAAAGAGTTTGTATCCGGCTGCCATCGCTCAACGAAAGCCGTGATCAGCGTACTGTCAATCTTATCGTGCATGATGGCAGGAACGTGATTCACCCCAGTGCCCTCCAGTCGCTCGAACATCTCGCTCTCCGCCGGCCAAGCCTCAGCCCATGTACGCAAAAAGCTACAAGTCTTTTCCCGGGTATGATATTTCAACAACCCCGTAACTGAAGGCCTCTCCTGGTCCTCCCAAATACGGGCAGCTATGTGTCCTAGAAAGCTAGGAATCACACTCCCGTCAACAGGCCCACCGGGCCACTCACTCCTAACAACCCAAGAATCATTAACGACCCTCGACCGTTTTCTACTTGCCCCAGATACAGTGGACGTAGATGATGTGCCAGATCTACTAACAAACCTACCACCCCTACCCTTACGCACCTCCACCATATGTGCCTCGTACATGTCATCAACCCTCTGATTGAATGGACCGTAATCATCATACGGTCCACTCCCATCGTCCACATCCTCATCCTCATATGCGCCCTCCTCCTGCTCCTCCTCCTGGTCACCCTCCTCAGCATCATCATCATTATCGTCATCGTCATCCTCATCCCGCCGGTGGATCCGTTCTCTACGAGTCGAGGCCGAAATACCACGGGATCTAACATGTCTATGCCCCGACCTCTCCACTGAATAGGTTCTACTAAGAAGCTCTACATTCTTCCCCGCACCATGACGACCCAGTGAATTCTACAAAAAATTTAACAAATTATTTCAACTAATTAGGACACAAAACAAAAATTTCAAATTATTTCAACTAATTAAACACAGAAAAATATTATACGGCATACACAAATACACACATAATACCCTAATATATTACAAAATGTATGATTTCCAAAAAAAATAAAAATTATTTCAAATAACTAACCATAAAAAATAAAAAACAAATATATTACACATACACAAATACACACATAATACCCTAATGTATTACACATTTTAAATAAAAAAAACAATTACACATTAACACAAACAATTACCACATACTACATCAATTAAGGCATAAAAAATGTTTAAACATCAAACATACAAAAAATAAAATATAAACACAAAAAAAAAAATCTGATTTTATAAAAATAAAGTATACACGATTTATTAAAAAAAACACATAAAGTTGATAAATATTTAAACAAAAATAAAACACATTAACAAAAAAAAATTAGACATAAAACTAAATTATTTTAAATAAAACTAATTTTCTGATTTTGCAAAATAAAAAAAAACCAAAAAAAATCAGAAAAAACAAAAAGAAAAAAAAAGAAAAAAAAAAGGGGGGTTGGGCGCCTGGCCAGGACGCCCACCCACTGGCGGTGGCGCCAGATCCGGCAGCCATAGCCAGTGGGCAGGGAAGCCCACCCATTGGCACAGGCGCCAGATCTGGACGCCACAGCCAATGCGCTGGCTCCTGGTTTGGACGCCTGTGCCGGTGGCTGGGCTTCCAAGCCAGACGCCACCCCACCGGCTTTGGTGGCCGGAGCTGACACCCCACCACACGCCACCGTCTTCTTTTTTTTTTTTTTAAAAAAAATAATTAAATAATTACCTTGCCACCAGGTCGCCGCCGCCACCTCTTTCCCTTGCCGCCGCGACATTGTCGTAATTAATTTTTTTAGGAGAGGTAGATTTTCTGATTTTCTTTAGAGAGAAGTAGAGAGTGTTTTTTTTTTTTAAAATGAAAAGGGCAATAAAGTCAAACCAAGTTATATTTATGGGCTTTATATGGTAATTTGCGGGCGATGTTTAACAAATCCCTAACTTTAAGCTTTAAGCTATAAAAAATGCTCCATTTTTTGTTCCAGAATGATTTAGTAATCCAGTTAGCTTCTGGTTTTCTGTAATTTAGATAACACAAATTAATCTCACATACTGTACATTTGATCAACAACTCTTGATAATTAGAAATGGTCAAATGTTTTTGTCTCTATAATGCCTTCTGATGTTAAAGTAATTGTCTTTCTTTTGAAGCTGTGTAAATTTCATGAGCTTATTTTACAAGGACTTTTTATTTACCGCGATATAGCTGATTAATCCTAGTATGTAGAGGAAATATGTATGAATTCCTTAGTCGCCATAGATTGTGATAACTGTTTCAATTTTTATTTATTTATTTATTATTTTTATATAGGATTTTATATTACACAATCTTGATGAGGTGCAACGTTTTCTATTGTTTAACTCTGTTTTCACACAATGTTCTTTAAGACATCGTATTTTTAAAGAATTATACTGTACTAAATTATAAGAAAAAAAAGGTTCAGTGTGAAATATATACAGGCCAAGAATGTGGGTAATTCACTTACAAAATTAGACTTGGGCAGGAGCAACATGTACATGACGAATATATCATATACGTAGTAGTTTTTTTCTCCTATGTGAAACTGTATATATAGGGCCTTATATCTTTCTACTCTGAACCATCCCACAGAAATTTTCCTAGTGTTACATATATAAGCATGTCTGGTGGACGCTTCATACTTTTGTTCCTTATGGTGGGAGTTCTCATCGCTGCTCAATGCCTTGCTGAACATCATCAGCATGATCATCGCAAAACATCTCCACGACACAAGCCAATTGATACCTGTAAAAAAACAGCAGAACACAGCAGATCTATTAAACCACCCAAGGCAGAGAAGAAAAAACCTCCCGTACCTCCTCATGATAAAGATAAGGCACCACAACATGAAGTCCACAAATCTCCTAAAAAAGGTGCTACTAAACCACCTGTTGGACATGAAACAAAATCGCCTCCCAGTAAAAAGGATCTACCTGAGAAGAAGCTTCCCCCTCCTGGAAAGAAGCTTTCCCCAATGCCGCCCCACAAACCACCCACGACATCTTACAGAATTTCTTGATTTTTATCTAGAGTGATGCATGAATAAGAAACATCCTGGACACTATATCAGCATTTCTTCTTTATTTTATGGTTATCGAGCTTGTATTTTGTTCTACAAATTGCATGTCTGTGCTGAATTGGGTTTAAAGTATAAAAAATTGAAAACCTTTGACGTTTGATTCAACATTGATTACCTGTTTATCTCTAGTATCTTTGTTCACCTTTGTGAATCAAATCGAATATTATAAAGTTATAGTATTATGATTTAATGAAAATTATTGGTCTAAACTAAGAATAATTGTTTGATAGTTGTACACATATGATGCTATTCAACAGTTACTGTATTGCAAGTTCCTTAGCTTCTAATATCCAATTTCATGACCTTGTAAGTGAATAATAGCTACTGTTTTGCAATTTCCTTTTTGTAACCTGGTAATTTATCCATCTCTAGGATGTGTTCCTCATGCGTCTCTGCAAAACATCTGAAGTCAGCAATCCAAAGCTGCAAAGCAGAACATTTTCTTGGACTTCCCTCGCAGAAGTGCAAAGTTGATCGCGTAGCACCTAACATGATTCGATTGTGGTAAGAACTTATGCATCTAGACTTCATACGTCCTGACTATGCTGATTTGGAACAAAGAAGAAGTTGTTCGATCAATTTTAGCATGACACTCATTACATAGGTTACTGATATATATTGTGCTCTGAACTTGGTATCTTCGAGTATTGATCACATTGTCATTCATACCAAGCTGAATCATAGCAATCCCATAAAAGATTAATCTAAGTTGTCAACAAGCTCTAAAAGATTAATCAAAGTTGTCATCAAGCCGATGGCTTCAAAATTGACAAAAACACGCTGATTACATACATGAGCGATCTTACAAGGATAAGGATCATCACTTCACCCATCATAAGTCTGATGTGAATAACCAGTATCTTTAACTCATTACATACAAATTTTAATTATTCAATCCAAAAATATTGAATCAATTCATGATCATAAACAATAAAACAATTCAATCATCATTATTGAAGATTTCGTTTATGAGCAGTGGCTAGACGTCATTTTACACCACTTTAGTCGTGCAACCCTCTTAAGATAGTTTTTCTCGACCAATCTTAGTCCAAAAAACTATCAGGCCCAGCCCAATATCCCGATCTGGCCTTACTGTGTGGCCCAAAATTTTGGCTCGATCTTGGCCCGACCCAGCCCTATGGTCTGCTCCATATATAGCAATTTTCCTGTACGTATTATTTGTGATCTTTCCCAAACCTAATACGTGGTCTTCAAGCAAAAACAAAAATTACACCTATAAAACCCCATTCACAAACCAAACAGAAAAAAAAAAAAAAAAAAAAATCTCCAGAATAATTCACTAAGTCTCCGAAAATACTCTCAGCAACCTCTGAATTCATCATTTCCTCCCTCGCTACCACCGCAACCGCCTCCGACTCTGACTCCGCCACCAACTCTTCTTGCCTTCTTGGCACGGTAGTACACTTCTATTACAACAATGGCTTCAAACTGTCCTCTTCTTGGCCCTCCAGAGGCCAACAAAAACACTCTCCTCCACCGCCTCGCAACTAGGCTTCACAGAGAACAATCCTCTTACGTACAAGGCAACAGGCAACCCATGCCTAGATTTCTTCTTCCATGTAGTGTCCAACACGCACCCCCCGGTCGATCACGGAACGCCTCGAAAAGGCTTGGGATCATGATCCCTTGACTACATTAAAGCTTATATGTAACCTTAGAGCGATTAGAGGGACCGGAAAGTCCGATAGAGAAGGTTTCTTTAGTTGCGCGTTTTGGCTCTTTAAGCATCATCCTAGGACATTAGCGTACAACATGAAGAATCTTGCTGAGTTTGGTTGTTTTAAGGATTTGCTTGAGATTCTTTACCGGTTACTTGAGGGATAAGATGTTCGCGCTAGGAGGAAATCGGAGTGGGAGTCTAAGAAAAGAGGGGAAGGGAAGGTGAGGAGGAGGAGGAGGAGGAGGAGGAGGACGAGGAAGCCGAGGAGGAAGGGTTATAGGAAGGAAAACAACTGTAGGTGGTTCCATGATATAGAAAACATAGGGGAGTCGAAGGAGGACAGGATTCGGAAGAATTTGGAGAGGGGAGAGGAGGAGAAGAAGGCGGCGAGGGTGTTGAGAAAAGAGAGGGAAGCTGCTAAAGCGAAGAAGGCCTTAGCTAGGTACAAGAAAGACCCGGATTTTCGAGTTTTGCATGATCAAGTAGCTGAGGTTTTTGCCAAGTTTTTGAGATCTGATGTTGAGTTCTTGAAATTGGGGGATGTAAATAAGATTAGTTTAGCCTCGAAGTGGTGCCCTAATATCGATTCATCGTATGATAAAGCAACATTGATTTGTGAAAGCATTGCAAGAAGAGTGTTTCCTAAGGCAGAGTACTCTGAATATGAGGGTGTTGAGGATGCTCATTATGCTTATAGGGTGAGAGATAGGCTTAAAAAGGAAGTACTTGTACCGCTTCATAAGGCGCTTGAATTACCTGAAGTGTACATTGGGTTTAATCAATGGAGAACATTGCCTGACAATCGAGTCCCATCTATCGTGATGAATACTTACAAGGACCTCTTTTTGAAGCATGATCCTAAAAGGTTTTTGAAGTATTTGGAAGATGTGAAAAAGGGGGATTCAACTATTGCAGCAGGTGCGTTGCTTCCTCACGAGATTATATCTTCTTTAGGGGATGGAGGTAGTTCAGTCGCGGAACTTCAATGGAAGAGAATGGTGGAGGATCTCATGAAACTTGGGAAGTTGAAGGATTGTGTTGCAGTTTGTGATGTTTCTGGTAGCATGGAGGGTAATCTCATGGAAGTATGTGTTGCCATTGGATTGCTTATCTCGGAGTTGAGTGAAGATCCATGGAAAGGAAAAGTCATAACGTTTACTGCTAAGCCGAAGTTGCATATAATTGAAGGAGATGAACTTGTTTCAAAGGTGATGTTTACAACAAACATGGAGAGGGGTTTGAACACCAACTTTCAAAAGGTTTTTGACCAGATTTTAAAAGTGGCTGTTGATATAAGATCAGTCAGAATCAGATGGTGAAGAAGGTGTTTGTGTTTAGTGATATGGAGTTTGATGAAGCTGCAGGGGACAAAGTCTATATGACTCTTCTTTGGATTCTAGGTACTCAAGAGATTATTCTTCGGATTCTAGGTACTCAAGAGAATTTTCTTCGGATTCTAGTTATTCAAGAGATTATTCTTCGGACTCTAGTTACTCACTCGATTATGGTAAAAGAAGAAGAGGATGGAAGGAGAGGGAAGAGAGACGTGCTGAGAAGTGCAGGAGAAAAGGGTGGGAGACTGATTATGAGGCTATAAAAAGGAAATTCAGGGAGAAAGGATTTGGGAAAGTGCCTGAAATTGTGTTTTGGAACCTTAGACCATCAGAGGCTACCCCTGTAACAGCAACACAAGAAGGTGTTGTGCTGCTAAGTGGATTTTCGAAGAATTTGATGAAGCTGTTCTTTGAGAGAGATGGGATTTTCACTCCCTTGGAAGCTATGGAACTTGCCATTGCCGGTGAAGAATATAAGGAACTAATTGTGTATGACTGATTTAGTCCAATTGCTTATTTAGGTTCTTAGTTCTAGATTTAGTTCATAATAGAGTCCTTTTACCCAAAAAAATATGCAAGAAAAAAAAAAAGGTTTTATGTTTAATCCCCTTTCCCTGTAGAATTAGTGCTGCATTCTGTTCTTCAATAAGTGCTAAATGGTTTTCAGAACAGTTTATGTTTCATTGAATAAAGTTTGGTTTTAGCTATCATGTTTTCTGGCATTAGTGTACTAAGAAGGTTTCGATTACGTTTAGATTATGAACAATGAAGCTACTGACTTCTAATATCTACCTGCCTCAGTTGATACATGCATGAACAATGAAGCTACTGACTTCTAAGCTAACTAATTTAAAGTACAGCCTTGCATTGTTGCAATCGACCTCAGTCTTTCCATAACTTCGAATATTCATTGAATTTGAGACTATTTTTGCTTCCTCAAGGTTTCTGTTATTGTAAATCCAAACATTTTTAGTTCATTCAATCTGACATCGATAATGATCAGCAACAAAAATTCACGAATTTCACAAGTCTCCTACAAATTATGGCTCAACACACATAATAAATAGACCTTTTTCATCGGGAACTCTGTAGACATGCATGTGTATTCAATGTTCATGTAGGCTTGGAGCAGTATAGCACAATTTATGTTCGAAATAGACTTCCCCCCACCCCAAAAAAAAACAAAAAAAAAAAAAAAAAAGATCACCTGGGCGGCTGTGCCTGTAGATTCCTTGGATTCAGAATGAAATCGAGTATGAGCACAAGATATAACCTCAGATTCAGTGAACAGAGAAAATAAAGCGATATTATCATATAGTGGAGCATCATTGTCATCACAAAGTATACTGATGTACCGCATTACAGTTCATCCTTCTGACCTGCTACTTATATAGCTTCTGAAGTAAAATATTTCATCTGCCTAGCACCTGACAAGGTTATGAATTACATTGTGATGCTGTCTTATGCATGACACTCCTAATGAAAATAGTCAAAGGTAATCTAGGTAGTTGATGTCGTAGAATTAAGCCTTCATACATATTACATACAAGTGTATAAATGATGCAGTACATACTAAATACAACAGAGCAGCAGCCTGCAAGAAAGAATAATTGAAAGATCTAAAACCTGTTTAGATTGCTGATATTATGTCAAGTGCGTCTGCAGATCAAATCTTAGTCGGCTAAAATGTATGACAGATAGAAAACTCTACGGGGGTAATTAAAGTTTTAGAATTTGGAAAGGCCAAAGCCTAGTCATAGTGTTAGGATTTTGTACTACAGGCAGAGAAATGTTTTAATGAGGCAGAGAAAGCTTGTAATGTCAAATTCTTCGAAATCTGCAGACATCTGACAGCTAATTGTTTTTTATTTTTATTGAGACTCACCTTCATATTCCTTGGCTTCCAATATTAAATTTTCGTGATCTTGTAAATGTTGTAAAAATAGCTACTGGCTTGCAATTTCCTCTGTATAACCGGTTTTTTCTTATTCATCTCTAGGAACTTAGGAAGTGTTCCCTATGCGTCTCTGTGAAACATCTGAAATCAACAATCCGTAGCAGAAGTGCAAATTTGATCATCGTAGCACGCACCTGACATGATTTGATTGTGGTAAGAAACTATGCTATCCTTGCTTCATACATTCTGATTGTGCTGAAGTCACTGATATGCAACATAGTATTTCCGAGTATTGATCACGTTGTCACTTGTACCATGTTGAATCCTAGTCCTATAAATGAATAAGCAAAGTTGTCTGATGAACTAAGAATGAATTGTATATCCTGCAGGCCTGCACCTACAGGCCAACGCCGGCTTCAAAACTGGCACATCACTCTATTAAGTTTTGTGATCTGAACACATAAGAACATGAGCCACTACTGTTTTACCTTAATTCTGAACTTGAATTTCAGAAGACAAAGCTAGCAAAATGCAATTACAATAACATACGCTAGTTAAATACATTAATGGTCGTCAACATTGAACATTGACAAATGTTACAATTTTATCATTTATACGAAATAGAAAAGGAATTAGATACAATGATACAAGTACAATCATTCAAACCAATTATTGATTCAATTAAGATGATATATAACACAATTACACAAATCAACCACAATGGAAGATTGCCTATACAAGCAACATTTATCTTGTTTACACCACGTCAACAGTACAATCCTCTTAACAAATCCGGTTACGGCCAAAATTAGCCCATGAGGTCAGGCCCAATATGTGGATATATATTTATATATATATATATAAATCAGACTATGGCTCAAATTATCAAACTCTTCACCTTAAAAAAAAAAAATTACACTCAAACAACCAAAACTATGGCTCCGAAAATGCTCTCTGAAGTTATAATTTCCTACCTCCCTACCACCCCAATCGCCTCCGCCGCTGCTACCACCACCGACGTAGACAAAAACAATTGCCGTAAAATCTATCATTCTGATTTTTTCCCTTGTAATTTTCTATCTCTTAGTAATAATTCTCACCCAACATAATAAGCTTTACAGATAATGGATCCACAACATTCTTAACCTCAGGCAACCCTGCCTTAGACTTCTTCTTCCATGTTGTCCCCGACACGCCGGCTTTGGAACTCATCCACCTTGTACAACTTTCTTGGTCATACGATCCACTCTTAACCCTTAAGTTGATCTGTAATCTTCAAGGTGTACGAGGTACCGGAAAATCTGATAAAAAGGGGTTTTACGTAGCTGCA